CATGTGGTCGGTGTGTTTTCAGGATAGCTGGTTGTTTGTGGTCAACAACACATTCTAGTTTTTCTTTCTTTCAAGGGGCAGTGGGGTAGCCTAGTGGTTAAAGCGTTCACTCATCACGCCGAAGACCCGGGTTCGATTCCCCACATGGGTACAATGTGTGCAACCCATTTCTCGTGTCCCCCGCCATGATATAGCTGGAATATGGTTAAAAGCGGTATAAAACTGAACTCACTCACTCAGTTTCTTTCAAGAAAAGACCTTGTTCATTGTGTTGTGGTTGTTATAAGAGGCATAAGACAATATTTACTCACTAATGGGGCTCACACATATAACCATACCCATTATTCCTAATTATTTTTCAAATCGCTAACTCTATTAAATATACTACTCAAAATACATTAAGGAACATGTCATGACAGATTAAATATAGTAATGTGAAAGAATTTGGTGGACCTTAATCTGTTTCGAATAGTATACATAGCACTCCCTGTTGTCACCTGATGGAGATTGACAAGGCTGACTACCAGTCGTAAATGCAATTATTCAAAATTGATTGGCCGTTTATCTTGTCCATTCCACATGAAGATTTAAATGGGATCATTTTGACTTACAGCTGCATCTTAATGTGGTCAGTTTTAAATGGAGTCGCCTCAGGGTGGGTTAGTAAATCCCTTAGTTAGTTGACTGGTGGACCTGTGCTGATTATGGCTGTAATTCACGGATTACATATGTCAATCAGATTGATAAGTTGCTCCATAATTGCCTGGATCATGGTGGTGATTATGCTGGAAACTTCCTAAAAGTACTTTAACAAATGGTGTATGTTCAGTTTTATCCCTTTGAAACATTGTTTAATTTTAATAAATTGGTGTCAGTTGCTTTAATTGTAGCCTTAATTTTTAGAAAGTTGAAAAGAAAATTATTTCAAGACAAAAATGTTAGATTGAATTTTTAATATATTTTTTTTTTAATTCACTTACATCTGGCTTACGCGTTCGGTTTTTAGATTACATTTAGCGATCTTAAATCAACGATAAAGGACCTCAAAATTGAAAACAGAGTAGCTTTATCTTCTAAATATTTTTTTCAAAATAATTAAACGAAAGAACAACTTCTGAAGTGATGTAAATAATAGCAAGTTTAGGCACACCTTAAAGACATTTCTTATATAATTAAATTGCAATTCTATCTAAACAGGAGTTAGTTTTGCATAAGCAAATTAATAGCATCCTAACTGTAGCTTCATCTTGACTGAAATTAGAATCTGGTGGTTGTATAGAAAATCTCGATTTTGTATCTTTTGATATCAATATGATATCAATAAGGCTAAAAAAAAGTTAAAAAGCCAGAGGCATGCTTATTGCTTTAACCCAAGAAGATCCCGGTTAGAATTGATCTTAAGTAACTCATGCTTGTCGTAAGAGGTGTCTAACGGGATTGGGTGGTCAGAGTCACTGACTTGGTTGACACATGTCATTGTATTTCAATTGCGTAAATTTAAGCTCATGCTGTTGATCACTGGATTGTCTGGTCCAGACTCGATTATTCACAGACTGCTGCCATATAGCTGGAATATTGCTGAATGTGGCGTCAAACTAAACTCACTCACTCACCTGATAAGCTGTAAACTGTTCCTGACTTGTTTTGATGTATCTTATATTAATTTATATTAAGTTTATTATCCAGAATCATTGTCCAACTTGTCCAGTGTGTTTAACGTAACATACAACCTGCTTCAGTAGCAGTGAGACAAGTGATACCATTATATCTCTTGACATCACAATGGTCTTCAAAGTATTGTGATGCAATGTCATTGCCCAAGCGATATTTCCTGTAGCAACCAGGTTTGGATGGTAAAATGTCTGAATGAATCGTTACTGTCTGCTATGGTTAATCTGATTAAAAACATTAGCAGTTTCAATATTGCTGATGGGCCTAAAAAAACATTCACTTACTGTTAACATTACACTACTTTGACAAGAATATATTCAATTCTGTTCAAAAGCTGTTTGATGGAGTTTAACAGCCTCTTGTGAAGGATGTGAAAATGTGAGCAACTTTTGTATTTTACTTCTTATATGTTTGATCCTGTCAAAAGATTGAAATCTTTAAAAAAGAAATACATAAAACTTTCACAGATTTAATGGGTTTAACTATTGCATGAACCTGTTGCTGGGTATGACATTAAAACAGGCCACAAATATGATCCAGATTAGTCATGAAGATAATCATTGAGCATTTCACTTTCTCACACAGGTGTTGCCTGCGTCCATGTTTTTGTCCTTGACCTTTCCTGGTCATGGTTGGGTGATTGTAAAACTGCCACCCGGAAAAAAACACACTTGACAACTGTAAACATATTTTGACTGACTTCCATAATTCTTTTGAAATGTAAAAAATCAGAAATGAATATTATCTGTATTATATGAATTATCGGTATTACCTAGCAAACAAATATTCTCTTAACTGTCTGAATGTCGATGGAAATAACGTGTCTTTACAAATGCCACCTAAAGAAATTTGTCTTTACAAAAGTGTAAATGTATTGAAATCTTATAATATTATTTTATTTGCTTTGTTTTAAAGAGTTGATTTAGTGAAATATTTCTTATTGAAACATTATGAAAAACTTCTAGTAGTCATGTGATTGTCCTGACAATCTGGATAATATTCTCTGCACAATTTGTCATCCAAAATGTTTGTTACTGCAAAAACAAAGAAATAACTATCTAACTGTTATAGTGTCATATTGCTAAAAAATATTTTTTTATTCCCTAGGCAACCATTAGTTGTATGTAAAACGTGACATTGAAATATGGACAAAAATTTAGTGAATACAAATTATTTGCACTTCGCAGACCAACTGGTGCAATGCATATTTCTCTTTGAGTGAGTGAGTATGGTTTTTTGCCGCTTCCAGCAATATTCCAGCAATATCACAGCGGCAGACACCAGAAATGAGCTTCATCTCTCTCTCTTTGAACCATTAATCTAAATCCAGCTATAACCATCAACACATTCCAATGTTAATATTAGTGTCCACTTTTCTAAACATGTCCAAAACAAAACTGAAATCCTATCTCTCCTTCAGATGGACATTTTAATGTATTGGACACTCAAAAAGAATTCCACAAGATTCGCAAGCACCAGGTTATTCCCTAATGTGCAGAATTTTTTACTTGATATTTTTTTGTTAAGAATCAATTATTAATCACTCACCAATAAAAAATAGAGAAACCTTCAAAGTGAATTATTAATTTGAATATTAATTATTAATCAGTAAAGGAAGTATGGATGGATTGGCTGTAGAGAGGGAGAACATCATCGTTATCTTGAAGGTAGTGAGTCAAGACTCCGAACCTTGGGCATTAAAAAAACAAGGGTTCTCCTAAAATAGGGCTATGTCAATATACAGAATCCTTCATAATCTCCCCAAGGAATCTGGGTCAGTGCTTGCTCAGTGATAAGTACATAGTTTCAGGGTGTTTCGTAAACCTCAGTTATATCAGACAGGTTACGAGATTTCACATGGGTCTTTTTACACAATTACGCAGGAATGTTGTAACCTGAAAACTTAATTTACAGCTTTATTGTGTAGTTTTTCCAGAGGTCTTTCTTGCCATATCTGTGTCTTCCGTGCGGGTTTAAATTTTGACACAATACATTTTCATTTACAAGATAAGTATGAAATTACATGCAAAATGCTGATTTTTAAGAAAAAAATATGGGGGTTTACCTGAACCCGCTAAAGAGCAAGTTTGCAACAAATGAAATAATAATTAAAATTCAAGTCAATATATAGTTCTAACTGACATGTTGTCTTGGTGGGATAAATTGGTCGTCACTGATAATAGTACCACTTAAAAGAAATGTGTTTTAATTTCACAGTATTGCATTAAGTCCAGCATTAAGATACCTTTCAATTAAGGAAATGAGCACTTTAAAATACTCAATTTTGAACTAAAGAATAATAATGGTGACATTTTGCCTACTTAAAGTACCGAGTTTAATATCTTTTCATAAACTCTTGTCTGAATCTTCTGATCAGATACTTCTACAAGCGAGAAGCCATTCACTAGCTGTGCATGGTGTTTCCCCAGGATTGGGAAAGGCCAAGGTTATTGTTTAGACATGTGGTAGTTGTTTTCCTTGTATATGTGGAAATGTTATCACCGCTGCTATAACCCATTGTAAATCACTCCCAAATATCATAATATTGTCAGTTTGTTATCTTCATTGTAGTATCTTCTGGGAGGTCAGAAACAGTTATACACCAGTTACACATAATAAGTTATACACCAGTTATACATAAAGCATTTATACATAAACAGTCATACACCAGTTATACATCCATTTATACACCAGTTACACATACACCATTTATACATAAACAGTTATACTCCAGTTATTCTTCATAAGACACCACTCACTCGCTCACTCACTCAAACACTGTACAAACATATGTAAATTTCATGATAATAGCAGATTTTTTCATGAAGATGTAAATGCAAAATACCACATGTAATTTTCTGTTAATCATGTTTGCCCTGAACCAGGTACACTTTGTGTTGTTCTCCAAAGTGGCGTGGCTGAATGGAACACATAGGTTTGATTCCTATTATATACACTCTGGATGCATTATCACAAAATGTTTTCTAATGAAGGGAAACAACCCCCTTTGAAAAACCCAAAGTTACATGAAAAAATCATAATTTTGTAATATAATGGCTCTTTATATCAGCGAGATTAAAATAATTGGGCATTGAATGAAAAACTTTTGTTTAAAAACAAAATTTAATTAATATTCCTTTTTGTGATTCTATATTCTAAATATATATTTGTGCTTCCAAAGCAGATATTGAAATCAGAAAATGATAACTCAGTTAACACATGGTAGATATTCATCAATACATCCCGGTTGAAGTTGTAACTATGTAACAAGCCTATCAGGACATTGTGGAGGGCATGCTTGAGCAACACAATACAACACTTACCTAAATACGATACTGTAAATCCAGCCACTCAATCAAAATAAAGTGAAACTGTTCAAAGAAAACTTTTTCCAAAACTGACCAGAAACAACGTTCAGCACAAGGAGTATTTCCCACAATCAAGATTCCAAACTTTGAGAGTATCCCCTCCAGTCTCTCAGCTCCTAATGCTAACCCGGCTCGGCAGACTGAGGCGGGGAGAAGTCAACATTCTAGTGCTAGCATTCACCTTGCAAGCAGCATGACAGGTCAATTCTCATGGCTATTCAGGTGTGCGATGTGAACCTACAGGCTGTCCACAAATACCACGACTTATTGCCACAGCCAATGAAGCGCTACAGCATGTCATGCCTCCTCATGGGTCAGTGAACATCAATTCGAGATATGCCCCAACGTATGTATAAGCTGTACTTACCGCTATGTCAGAGTGAAAGGTCTGCCGGTTTGTTTGTCCAGTTGTTTCCGTTGTCTAAGGCTATCCTCAGGGCTTGATACAGCTGCTTCTTACTTGCTTCTTACTTGCTTGTTCAGAGAATGTGATTTCTGGAATTCGTTAACGGTTTCCGTACAGGTAAGAATGACTTTTTGTTGAAATGTCTTGTCACTGAAATAAAAGTTACTTTGACTTTGACATGGAATGAAATGAAAACATTTAATTTCGAGACAATCAGTTTTAAATAGTACTATAAAATCATTAATGGACAATAATGCGTTAAAGAGTCATTGATAAATATAATATTTAAATATGTACAATAGTAAATAATCACTATGTATTAAAGACTGACATAGTCGTAATTCTACAGGTGACTGAAGTCGATTGAGTCTCTGTACCTTGTATTTCACGTGGTTGTTAAGTCGTGTGGTGCGGGGTGTATGGTTACTCCTGTATGGTAGTAACTGGAGGCAACCATTATATATATACACATAGCAGTGAATGCATCTAGGCGGAGACTCGGTTAGTGAGCAGCTTCAGCTACTTCACACGCCCACTCGGTGACGAGGATGTCCTACTTCCGGCTGATCCCTTTACCTCACATCGTGTAATCCTCATATTGACTTGTAGCTCCTCCCCCCATATTTGGAGTTCCCCTCATCCCCCACCCCCATCCTTCATTCCCTCTCTCCCCCTCCCCCCATTTACTTCACCTTAATTATTGTTGCACGTACGACAGTCTTATCTAAGCTTTTGTGATTCGGTATTCATTACTTTCTAGATCATTTTGTGTTATATGTTCATGATAATTGTATCAGTTTCTTTTGGGGGGGGGATAGGGATTTTGGTGACATTTGCTGAAATATTTTCAGCTTTGTCTTAGATATTGATGAAGTTTCATTGTCATGTCCTTTCTTTATACAGAAAAGTATTTGAATTGGGTGTTCTATATATCTATCATATACACTGAATTCTCTTCAATTTTCTTTCTTTTTAAATTTTTTTTCTTATTGGGGAGGGGAATGAAGGACGTGGAATGTAATACTTTAACGGGGGGTATTTACCAAACAGCAGCAGCAACAAAATAAATTTTTAAAAATTGCAGTTCAGCAAAAATGTATGGAATGTTTTGTAAACTCTTTAATTTTAATTGAAATGTTTAAAAAAAAATTCAGTCATTGCAGACAGATTGGCCATATATGATATGATATGATATGTCACATTCAAGTATTCTTAAACTATTTATATTGTGAGCAGGATATTTTATTTTGATCATAAGGGTCACCAGTCAAGTTTCAAACTGTATTACATTTCCTCAAGTTAATTGTTTTATTATGGACAAATAAACAGGTGAATTTGAGAGCATGATATGAAAATATTTCCTGTAGCTTAAATTTTCCTTTGAAAGTATTCCACTGCAGTCCGGCATGTCTTCAGCTGTGACTAACTCACAATTATATGTTTCCTACTAACTTTTTCAAAATGGACAAATTTATCCAATGAAATTGCCTCTTTCCCTCTAAGAAAAATGCTCAATCATTGTACCGCTGGATGTCGTCAGATAAGGCCTCAATTCGTGCACACGTATGGTGAGAGTGTGTGAGTGCTTGGAGTAGATTGATATCGGATGACAGTTAAACACACCTTGTAAGCCCCTCTTTAGTCTGTGGTCAGCCGCAGAGGACATTCCGAGCCATTCAAACAACTTCCTGTTTTTACTGTTGCACATACAGTCTCACCAGGCCTATTGAGAAATTTAGAGACTTCTCCTCCTTCAAGATTTATGAATATTTGATGTAATAAAGAATAGGGTTGTAATGCTCATGTTCGAATAGAATGCCACGGTCTGAGTCATTTGAAGGGATATCCAGCTGTTTGCTATTATATTTTACATTGAATTGAAGTTGTGAGAGTCTTTTTAGGACAATACCATTCAGCAATGTACTATGCAGAACTAGAATTAATTACTTTTCTGGTGAAAATGGTATTGGGAGAGTCAATATTTGAATCCCAAGTTTCTTTTTCTGAATAATCTAATTTAAACTTGCATTTCTTCCGTATTTTCCTATTAATCCTAATAAATGTTGCTTTGCTCACTTTTCTTTTAAAATACTCTGTTGATGTATGTTCATAAAGCAACATATTTCTTAAGAAAAGTCTACGATTACATGGCTAGCCGTGGTAAAACTGGCTCTGAATTCCATATTAGAGCAGCCGGTAGCCCAGAGATTACCTGGTTCACTTGTTACACCAAAGGCCTGGGTTTGATTCCCCACATGGGTACAATGTGTTCAGCCCATTTTTTGTTGTCACCTGATGTGATGTTGCTGTAATGTTGCTAAAAGTGGTATAAAATCATACTAACAAGTACTCAGTATTACCTGGCTTCATTGCTACTTATATAGTTCTGGTGATAACATCTACAAGTTCATATTGCACCAAACTATGTAATAACAGTGTAGACGTTTTATTGGTCTCATAGTGTTATTACCCGTGAAGATCCGGGTTAGAATGAGCCTTCAGTAACCCATGCTTGTCGTAGGAGGCGACTAACAGGATTGGGTGGTTATATGCTGACAACATGCAGTATTATTGGAACTGGGATGGTGGGGGTAGCCTAGTGGTTTAGGTGTTTGTTCATTACAACAAAGGCCTGGGTTCAATTCACCACATGGGTACAATGTGTGAAGCCCATTTCTGGTGTACCCTGCCACGATAATGCTGGCATATTGCTAAACGTTAATATTGCTCACTCACTCACTCACTCACTTTTATTGAAACTCTTAATAATTACCATATTTTATTAATAACGATTTAGTTTTATGGATTGTTATATATTGTTACATTTGGTGATAGTGTTTATAAAACTTGTAACATTTGAATGAGATTCAATTAAAAAGCCATTTGTTAGAAGCTAAAGATTGATGATATTTACCTAACACCATCCTAAATATACGTCAGTAGGCTCAGTGTCTCCTTCAGCACCAAGAAGGCTGGGTTGCCTCATTTGTGTTTAGGTCAGTACAGAGTTTAACCGCCCATTCTCGCTATCAGGGTGGGGAGGCAAAAGGGTGTCAATTGTGCACGAGCAGGCCTCTCGACCTTCCAACTTTATTAAATAATTATCGCTTATGTGATCCAGAAAAACCTGTTTCTTTAGACTTGAGCTTTTCATGGAGTGATGGTGGTAAACTTCGTTGACACTAAGATATGAGAAGGAGCGATTAGGTAAATGTTATATGGCTGCTCTGAGCATATGGGTGTTACTGCAACTGTCTGATTTCTGACTTGATGTAGTGTTGAGGTAAACGTTACGTGTTTGTCTGTGTACATGTTGGGGTGGCTGTTGTATGGTTCTAGAAGCTAGCAATATCTAGGAACAACACTAGTCCTTAAGCTCTGTGAAACATGGTCGGGTGGTACCGTGTATACGGTATCGTGTGGGATTTTTGGGAGTATTTTTCTCCACCTTGTTTAACAACACCGCAACTTGGCCATTTAGCGTGGTCCCTAACTTTAGCCAAACACTTGGAAGGGCAGGGATATTGCCTTAACATTTTATTCCTTGAGTTACTTTGTGGCGGATTTGTGTATAAATCACAGCAGGTACAGATCGCGATGAAGGTATCAGTTTATGGAGAATGATTTGTGTATATTTAATTGGTGAACTATCACTCTTTCAACACTTCAAACTCCCACATATCCTTTGAACAAAGGGCACCTGCATATTTAACTGCACCTTTCACTAATATTTTCATCGGAGGTAGTTTGCCTGTAGGAGTTTGGTTGAAATTTTTATATGTTGATTGAAGAGATTCTTCGTTGTTTGTTATGAGAGCTTAAGATACTACAAACACAGGACACTTACCTGTTTGAAAGATTTTAGTAGTGTTTAGTTTAAGTTTGGAATGCATCTGAAAGAAATTGTTTTGTCTACTCTGCATTTTGTTCTTTTAGAGGGAGTCATCTACATCTGTAAAGTTCTGAAATACTCTTGTTCTTCTGTTTGTGGCCCACAGCGCTCATGCCAAGTCTTGATTCCAAAGTAATAACTTGCATGATCTTCCATTTAAAGGGAGACTGTGCCCTACAGTGCTGATGCTCAGGGTTGATCTTGATAACCTATGTCTTCTTCCATTTAATGGTGGACTTTGCACGACAGCATTAATGCCCAGGATTGATCTCACCATAATATACATTATTTTCCATTTAATGGGAGACTGTGCCCTACAGTGCTAATGCTCAGGGTTGATCTTGATAACCTATGTCTTCTTCCATTTAATGGCAGATTTTGCATGACAGCGGTAATGCCCAGGATTGATCTCAACATAACAAACATTATCTTCAATTTAAAGGGAGACTATAATCTACAGTGCTTGTGCCCAGGTTAACATTGCAACATACTAACATATATGATCATCCATTTAAAGGGAGACTATAATCTACAGTGCTTGTGCCCAGGTTAACATTGCAACATACTAACATATATGATCATCCATTTAAAGGGAGACTATAATCTACAGTGCTTGTGCCCAGGTTAACATTGCAACATAATAACATATAATCATCCATTTAAAGGGAGACTATAATCTACAGATCATCCATTTGATCAATTTAGGGAGAGACTATAATCTACATAATAACATATGATCATCATCCATTTAAAGGGAGACTATAATCTTGTTGCCCAGGTTAACATTGCAACATACTAACATATATGATCATCCATTTAAAGGGAGACTATAATCTACAGTGCTTGTGCCCAGGTTAACATTGCAAACATACTAACATATATGATCATCCATTTAAAGACTATAATCTACAGTGCTTGTGCCCAGGTTAACTATAATCTATCAGGGAGACTATAATTGTGCTTTGTGCCCAGGTTAACATTGCAACATAATAATTTAAAGGGAGACGTGCATGATCTTATCATCCATTTAAAGGGAGACTATAATCTACAGTGCTTGTGCCCAGGTTAACATTGCAACATAATAACGTGCATGATCTTCCATTTAAAGGGAGACTATAATCTACAGTGCTTGTGCCCAGGTTAACATTGCAACATAATAACGTGCATGATCTTCCA